CCAGAGGTGAGTTGACGGATTACCTCATGACGAAGGAGTATGCAAAGCCCCGCGAGGTCTATCCCCGCAAGGTAGAAAGTACGCAAGTAAAAGTCATCCATGCAATACATGGCAGGTCTGAAGATGATCAAGAGTCCGAGGAGGTGTACAGATCCAGACTGAGGGCGACCCACAAGCTCAGGAAGATATCCTCAGTCAATGCTATCAATTCAGGTAGCATCAGTATTGGATTTGGAGATGGCGACCTATCCAGAGTGCAACTCCCCCATGAGGATCCATTGGTCATCAGTCTTTTAGTGGCCAATTGTATGATCAGGAGGGTTTTGGTAGATCCAGGAAGTAGCGCCAACATAATCACGAAGACGGTCTTTGATCAGTTAGAGATCCCGTCATCGTCTATTCGACCTACCTCCAGCCTGTTGATGGGATTCGATGGCACAAGAGTAGATCCCCTTGGAGTAATAGACTTGTCCGTAACCGTGGCGAAGAGGACTCTGAAGGAGAATTTTGTTTTAACAGAGATCCATCCTTCTTACAATCTCATCATGGGAAGAAGCTGGATACATCGGATGAGGGGAGTTCCATCCACCCTTCACCAGGTGATGCAGTGCTTATCTCCGGACGGGAAAGAAGTAATTAATCTATGGGGCGATCAAGTCGCAGCGAAGGAATGCTTTATGTTGACACAAGTTGAGGCGACAAGGGTTTCGACTCAACAGCAACCAGGTGTGGTTTCCAAAACTGGACCCAAATAGCAATTACAGAGCCTTCTGCCCAAGTATCTTAAGGAAAAGGAGGAAGAGGAAATTACGAAGCCCACTGAGGAGACCCTTGAAGCCATGGAAGTTATCCTCAGCGACCCTCAGAAGGTTACTTATCTAGGATCTTCTTCCACGTCCGAAGAAAATGAGGCATTAATTGATGTTATCCGGAGCAATCCCTTAGTTTCCTGCCATAGTCTGAAGGTGGATCCGGAGTTCAAACCGATTAAGCAGAAACACCGAAGGTTTGCCCCTGAACGCAATCACATTATAGCTGAAGAAGTGAGCAAATTGTTGCAAGCAGGTTTCATTCGAGAAGTGCAATATCCACAGTGGCTGTCGAACGTGGTAGTCGTACAAAAGAAGAATGGAAAATGGAGGGTTTGTGTAGACTATACCAACCTCAATAAAGCCTGCCCTAAAGATAGCTACCCTCTGCCCAAGATAGACCAGATGGTTGATGCTACCACCGGCTACGAGAAGCTGACATTCCTAGATGCATACTCGGGATACAATCAAATTCCTATGAACCCCGAAGATGAAGAAAAAAACGGCTTTTATTACAGAAAAGGGGACCTATTATTACAGGGTCATGCCCTTCGGACTGAAGAATGCTAGAGCTACTTATCAACGCCTTGTCAACAAGATATTCGATAATCTGCTGGGAAAGACAGTTGAAGCATATATAGATGACATGGTGGTTAAAAGTGTGAAGAAAGAAGATCATCTGAAGCATCTACAGGAAGTCTTCAATACCTTGAAAAAGTACAACATGAAGTTGAATCCATCCAAGTGCTCCTTCGCGGTATCATCAGGTCAATTCCTCGGCCACATAGTGAATAAAAGAGGGATAGAGATAAGTTCGGCTCAGGCTAAGGCCCTCATCCAGAATTAGGAACCAAAAAATTGCAAGGAGGTGCAGGTTCTTATTGGTCAGATCGCAGCCCTCAGCCGGTTTATATCCCGATTGTCAGATAAGTGCAAACCATTCTTCGATGCTATACGATCTAAGAATAAAGATATATGAGGACCTCAGCAGCAGGAGGCCCTCAGTCGGTTAAAAGGTTACATAGCCGAACCACCAATTCTATCTGCTCCAAAACCCGGGGAGGTTCTTATTATGTATTTGGCAATTTCTAATATAGCGACAAGTGCAGCATTGATTAGAAAGGAAGGAAATAAGCAATATCCAGTCTTCTATACAAGTAAAACCATGGCAGATGCGGAGACGCGATATAGTAAAGCAAAAAAAGTCATCTTAGCCTTGATCTATGCCAAGAGGAAGCTTCGGCATTATTTTGAATCTCATAGCATTGTGGTACTTACCAACTATCCTATACGGGGTATACTCTCCAAGCCTGATTTATCTGTGAGAATTACCAAGTGGGCTATCGAGCTTAGTTCATTCGACATAACTTATGAGCCAAGCATGTCGCACAAAGGACAAGCCGTAGCAGACTTTCTTCTCGAGTATGAAGATACTCCCGAAGAGCCGGCACACCCTGAACCACAATGGGAACTTCGAGTCGATGGCTCCTCAAATCAAGCAAGTGCAGGGGTAGGCGTTGTAATGTCAACACCCGAAGGCACCAAGCTACAACAATCTATCTGTTTGAAGTTCCCGGCTACGAACAATGAGGCCGAGTACGAGGCATTACTTGCTGGTCTTCGATTGGCTAGCAGCCTCCAGGTACGTTGCTTAAAGGTTTTTAGTGACTCACAGCTTGTTATAAATCAAGTGATAGGTCAGTACCATCCCAAAGAGGAAAGAATGAAAGCATATAAAGAAGCTGTAGAAAACGTTGCACGGGGATTCGATCAGATCGAATTCTATCAGGTACCTCGTGTTGAGAATGTCGAAACGGATCAATTGGCCACATCAGCGTCATCCTCGAATGAAGATCTAACTCGGATTGTGCCTATTGACGTTTTGGACAAGCCCAGCATTAATCCTCCGCAGAAGGTAATGGTGATTCCATTTATTCCTCGAGAACCATGCTGGATTGATCCATTGGAAGCCTACCTTAAGCATGGAGTTCTTCCAGACTAGAAGTCCAAAGCACGGAAGCTCCGTCTCACCACAGCTAAATATACCATCATTAACAATCAGTTATACCGAAAGTCAATTTCAGGTCCTTACCTGAAATGTTTAAGCCCTACTAAGGCTCTTGTGATGTTGCAACAAATCCATGACGGAGATTGTGGCAACCATTCTGAGGGTAGATACCTCGCGCATAAAGTCCTGACTCAAGGTTACTTCTGGCCGTACTTGGCCCAGAATGCAGAAGAGTATACTCGGAGGTGTGACAAATGTCAACGTCACGGTCCCATGAAGCATCAACCTGCCGAAGATTTGCACGCAATGGCAAATCCATGGCTATTTGCACAGTGGGGGATTGATATGGTGAACCCGTTACCCAAGACTGTGGAACAAAAGGAATACGTGCTACTGGCTACAGATTATTTCACTAAATGGGTAGAAGCCGAGGCCTACTCAAGTGTAACCCATGAGCAGGTAAAAACTTTCCTTTGGAATAACATCATTTGCTGGTTTGGGGTCCCAAAAGTCATTATGATGGACAATGGTAAGAACTTCGACAATAGGAGTACAAGAAAATTCTTTGCTGAACATGGAATTATACAAAAGTTAGCTGCAGTTAGTCATCCACAAGGGAATGGACAGGCTGAAATAACTAATCGGACCATTTTCAGTTGTTTAAAGAAGAAATTGGAGAAACTAAAAACGAAATGGCACGAGAATCTCCCTCAGGTGCTTTCGGCGTACCGAACCATACCACGGCGGCCCACGGGGGAGAGTCCTTTTGCCATGGCTTATGGCTCCGAAGCAGTGATTCTAACCGAAACGGCGATTCCAACCCTTCGGACATCCTTGTTACTTGAAGGAAACAATAGTCAATAGCTCAAACATAGTCTCGACCTCCTTGATGAAAAAAGGGATGCTGCAGCAATTAGGCTTGCTTCATATCAGTAGCAGCTGCGCAACAGTTATAACAAACGTGTCAGATTCTGGAGTTTTGCGGTAGGCGATTGGATTCTGAAGCAAGAGACAGCTCATTTAAAAAAACTGGAACCTAATTGGACCGGACCCTACAGGATTACCGAAGTAGCGGGGAAGGGAGCATATCGTTTGGCCGAAGCTGACGGACGTCCCATTACACATCCTTGGAATGCAATACACCTTAAACGGTATTTCCATTAGTTAAGTTTGTCAATTTTTTTTTTAAGAATTCTTTAGAAATAAGGCTGCGTAAGCCCACAGTTAGCCATGCTTTACTTTATTTTGCTTCTATTTGTTTCTTTCCATAAAAATGGGGGCCATACCATCATTCTATGATTATTCAATTTTGCGTTGCAGTATGCATTAGCAATTTTTATGCAAAGAAATTTTTATGCAAAGGAAAAAATTTTGAAATTTTATGCCTATGGTTATGCAATGTTATGCTTTTATGCAAAGCAATGTTGGAAGCAAGTTATTAAGAACCATGCGTTTTGACCTATGGTTAAAGCTCTTTGTCCCACATCGGATAAAAATAGATTGGAAATGTGGTTAATATATGCGTAGTCCATGACATAGAGTTGCCAAGAAGGGAGTATCAATGGAGGAAAGTCTCCAAAGTAAACAAATAGGAAACTTCGCAGCCATTGTTACTCGCTTTCTTGGCCTCCTATCATTTTTGAGTCCTCGGCGAGTTGTTTTCAAAAAAAAAAAAAAAAACAAAAAAAAAACAAAACGATATATGTATGAAAATCTCTTTCTGGCTCAGCGCCGGGGAGTAATTCATTCGCCTCGGACCCTAAGTGTCCGGCTCAGTAGAAATCTCGCCTCGGATCCTAAGTGTCCGGATCGGCAGAATCTCCTTCTGGCTCAGCGCCGGGGAGTAATTCATTTGCCTCAGACCCTAAGTGTCCGGCTCGGCAAAAATCTCGCCTCGGACCCTAAGCGTCTGGATAGGCAAAATCTCCTTCTGGCTTAGCGCCGGGGAGTAATTCATTCGCCTCGGACCCTAAGTGTCCGGCTCGGCAAAAGTCTCGCCTCGGACCCTAAGTGTCCGGCTTATCAAAAGACTCTCGCCTCGGACCCTAAGTGTCCGGCTTGGTAAAAGTCTCACCTCGGACCCTAAGTGTCCGGCTCGGCAAAAGTCTCGCCTTGGACCCTAAGTGTCCGGCTCGGCAAAAATCTCGCCTCGGACCCTAAGCGTCCGGATCGGCAAAATCTCTTACTGGCTCAGCGCAGGGGAGTAATTCATTCGCCTCGGACCCTAAGTGTCCGGCTCGGCAAAAGTCTCGCCTCGGACCTTAAGTGTCCGGCTTGTCAAAAAACTCTCGCCTCGGACACTAAGTGTTTGGCTCGGCAAAAGTCTCGCCTTGGACCCTAAGTGTCCGGCTAGGCAAAAGTCTCGCCTCGGACCCTAAGTGTCGGCTCGGCAAAAACCTCGCCTCGGACACTGAGTGTCTGGCTTGGAAAACTTCTTATTTATTTTGCTTCGGACTAAAACAAATAAGGAACCTTCAAGCAGAGTACCTTCCTTAAAAAATAAAAAATAAAAAATAATAATAATCTCAACAGAATGCAATATCAGAAGCATACAAGCATACGTAATCGAAGCAAAATAAAAGAAAATGATATATCATTCATTCTCAAAATTGTTTCATTACAAGAAAAAAATATATATATGTTTGTTTGATCCTACTTCCTCTTCGGATCAAACGGGGCAGATTCAAAAGTATCTACTACAGCTGGACTTGCAGGTGGAGGAATTGAAGGACCATGAGTTACAGGAGTTGATGAGCTCAGAGGATCTTCCGGGTGAGCTTTCACCATTTCAGCAAAAAGCACCTCAGCCTCCTGAGCTTTCGGACCCTCTGTATAAGGGAAGGACACCCCTATGTTCACATCAAAGGCATCAGGATCCATCGATTTGGGGCTTGAGCCTTGATTGAAGTCGGACCGGTAAGCTTTTGCACTTGACAAACACACCAGACTGGAGTAACGACCTTGCATTTGCCTCTCGGCAACGATGCAGGTGCTAAGGGCGTCATTTAAGCATTGGACTTCAGCCTCAATCGCCTCAACTTTGGCATCAAAAGCAACCAAACGCTTCTTGTAAACATCCCGAGCCTCATATGCAATTTATGCATTAGCAATGGCATGGGATGCCTTCTTCTCAGAATTACTGAGGTCTTTCTCCAGCTTCTTAAGGGAAAGAGACTGAGCCTCAGCAGTAGCACAGAGGGCCATAGTATGATACAAGCCCTGCATCATGAGATAATAACAATGTAAGAAAGTTTGTAAGGCAATTATGACAATGAAAATGAAGGAAGGAGCAAACCTCTATGGCACGAACAGGGGAAGATGGGAGTAGTTGTTCCAACCTCATTCTGCCAATAATTTCTTCATCCTTGGGGAGCCACATTCCCCGAGCAACGGCTAGTGCTGCAAATGGGTCAGTGATCATAGAATCACCAACATGGAGGATGGACTTGTCAGCCCTCGAGAAGGAAGGAGTGCAAGGTGCCCCAGCCTCGGCAAGGACGTAAGCATTGACCTCATCGTCAGGGTTAATCTCCTCGGATTTCTTTCCTTTGCTTTTTGGGTTGGAAGCACCCTTGGATTTCGCGGTTAAGAAGGGGTTCAGCCTTGCCCTTTTGTTCAAAGGGAGTTCGTTAATATCCTTTTCCTGCTCATTTGTACGCAATATAGTCAACGGAGCATTCTCTGCAGCTTTCTTCTTTAAGGCTTTAGCCCTCTGCTTTTCTTCTTCAGTCATGGGGAAGCTGTCAAATGATGGAAGTGAGAGGTCCATGAGATCAGCGCATACAGCTCTGGAAGCAACTGCTTTAAGACTCACAGAAATGAGTAAGCTCTCGACCGAAGGAGGGTCACTCCAGACCTGCCTTTTCAGGAAGGAAAGCCTCTTCTTGGCAGCCGAAGAAGGAAATGTTGCTGAAAAAACACCAAGAAACTCGTAAATATATCGAAAGAATAAGACTCGATATGGGAAACAGCCAGAGCACTCTTCATGAAGAAAGGGGGGATGTTCTATACCTAACTTCCTGAACTTACGAGGGATTGGGAGTTTGCTCGATTGGGGCATGGCCCATCTCCCTTTAACAATTATTATCCTCTCTTTCCACTTCTTTTCAGAAGTAGGGAGGTCTGTATATATCCTTTGGTGCAAGGGGGATGTGAAAAAGAAACGACAGGTTCGGTTCCATCCTTAGAAATAGAATAAGTAATCAGCAAGTCAGCCAGAGTCAGGTCAAGACTCTCCTGCCACCGGCGAATGAGGAGTGCGGAGATTACTCGAAATAAGTTAGGGTTTACTTGCAAGGGTGCAATCCCCAATTTGTTGAAGACTAAGTGATGAAAGGATGAAGGGGGAACCTAAGAGCGTTGAGGTGCCCAACAGAGAGGAGCAACTCGTCTTCTCCGACGCCTTCGCCGGCGCAAAAATCAGCGCCTTTGGGGTACTCTGCAATTTTTACCCCCTCAGGAATCTCGAATTCTTCCATTACGGATTCAATGGAGAACGGGATGCGACGAATAGATAAAATTGCATTTCTTTCTTCCTTAGTGAGGATATTGTCCGACCCAGAGGTGGATGTTTCAGCCTGGATCGGGGAAGCACCTGGCTGATTAGCCGAGTCACTTACAGGTTTAGGAAAGTTCGAAACCCTAGGTGGGGGAACCCTAATGAGATTAGGGGAAGACGAGGGAGTGGACACAGAATCTACGATCTCTATACGTTCAGGAGTAGTCGAAGTACTCATAATGCAACATCAAAGAGAAAAAGATGAAGAACTAACCTGATAAGACGACGGAGTGAAGAAAGCAAGAAACGTAGTGAGAGCAAAAGTAACCCTTATGGAATCTCTTAAGGCAGAATGGCAATGGGCAATCTTTGAACCGTTTTTTTATAAAATAGACAACCGTGCAACTTCAATTCCCTTCTTAATAGGAGCCGCAATCCAATTAAAGAGGGAATTGTGTGGAGGAAAAAATCTCCCTCCAATAAGAGCAGTCCACGTTATCATAAATATAACTTTATCTTCAATAAAGTTCAAAGCCCATCTCGTCAGAAGCCCAAGTTGAGTTGGTCATTAGCCCAAAACTACTATTATCTAACTACCAGCTTTACTAAAGCCCGAATCAAGACGCCAGCCGTCATGTGGACCAAGTTAAATGCGGCCCAAATCCATTTAAAGAAGGAGCCGGTCCTGCAAGGAAAATGAGTCTCCAAAAGGAGCAAGTTCTTTGTAAGGAAAATCTAGTAAGGGAAGAATTATAAAGAGGAAAGAATTCTATTTGCAAAGAAATTGATATATGGAAAGAATTAGAAGACAAACAACGCGAGTCCTACCATAATCCTTCTAACTTTTTTATATAAATAGAGGCCTAGACCTCCAATAAAGGGATCAAGCAATTCCACGCTTTTCTACACACTATTCTTGTTTGTTTTTATTGTTTATTGAGTGAGTTGTTTAATTTTTCTCAATCATTACTGGTTGAGCGAAATTTTGCACGTACAGTCTAGAACCTGAAACCGAACTGAACTGAACTAAACCTTTAGTTTCATCGTTCATTTCGGTTTTAAATTTTATGGAACCCTTAGGAACAATTTGGTTTCAAAATATTCCGAAACCGGTCCAATCCGAATCGTGTGCATCTAGTACTATCTCCAAATGGTACGAGACTAAAATTCAACAACAAATCACGACAATATGGTGGATTGGGTTGTTACATCCAAACACAACATAAGAAAAGAAAATATGGTTTTGCATGCTCATACCAGAGGAAAAAGTGATACAACTTTTCTAGGGTTAAGAAAGAGGGATGAAATAGGTGTGTGCTTAATTTGAAGAGACCGCTTCTTATTGTCCACCACATTGGCTCATATTTTCTTGAAAGAAAAACACATACACATACACCCACAGAGAGAGAGGTCACCTGAGTGGATGAACTAAGACTGGTCATTTCTTGGCCGGACCCTACTTCCCGTTTTAAATCATCTCCTTTATTCCCACTGCTATCTTTTCTTGAATGCATGATTACAATGAAATAAAAGTTAGTATGAACTAAAATGTAAGCTATGAATTAACCATAGTTGAACTCTAATTTACTATAGCCTTGGGAGTTGGGACTAATGCGACGGGTAAGCAAATGGGGTCATTACGTAGTTCGTACTTTAAAACCAGGACATTTGGCGCTTCATTTACTGCTTCCAATGAATTCGTGAGTCATGTTTTGATATTCCTCCTCCTTTTCTCTCTCTACGATACTATATCTGCACCGCCTTTTGGGTCTTCTCGTGGGTTCGATCTGAGTATCAATCAAGGGTGATGAGGGCTATTGGAGTGTGTGTTCCTCGCCTCGTCGAGGTTCTCTGTCTATCAGAGCTTAGGCTGTCTCTATGGCAGTATTTAGGTGGGTTGTCTTACCTATTTCCTTTTATTTGCTGATCTTGTTGGTTGTTTGGCCGGAGGGGCTCTGGTGCGTGGTTGGTGATCCCATCAACTTTTTTGGTTGCTGGATGGATTGTTGCCCCATTCTTACCGCTTTTTCCCTTTGATCCAGGTATTCTTATAGTTTTATTGGTTGTGTTTTATGTGCTAACTTTTTCTCTGTGGTGTTGTGTTTCTTGGAATCTCTGTTGGCCATTATGTATCACTATTCATCTACGTGTGGCCTCTCCATGGCGGGTCCTCTTATCGGCAACAATGAATGTACCTCCGTCGCCATGGATTTCGGATATGGGTTGGGTGTTGCAAGTAATCCCCCTCAGATCCTCGGTATATATGGTATCCTATGGGATTGGATCCGGATTGGGGAATCATTTGGGAGCCGTTGTACTGTTAGCACTGGTGTTGCTCTCGGCGATGGTTTCATCCCTGCTCGCTTTGGCTTGGTTGTTGCAAACTGGTTGCCGGTGCATCGGCTGGTTTGATAGTCGATTTGTCGGCTTAGTGGGTCGGTGCATTCTTGGTAGGCCGGGTTGGTGTTGATGTTATGGCTGATGTTATTGAAGTTTCTTGTGAAAGCTTTCTGCTGGCTTGTGGTGGGCCAGAGGCATGGGATGGTTTCAACTTTTTGGTTGACAGGGCTGGTTTTTTATGGTTTGGTTCAGTTTCCTATAGGCTTCATAATATGTTTGTGGCCCACCACTTTATTTTCTTTCTTAGACAGGAGGCAAAAATGCAAAATCTCTGGGTTTCCTTGACAAAATCTTTATCTATGGACCTGCTTGAACATAATCTTCTTTACGCTTCAAATTGTGATGTCATCCTCGATCCTTGGTATTGGGGTCTACTGTCTTTCAATATCTTGCCCAGAGTTGTATTTTTGTCTTGGATTTCGTGGGTTCTAGCACTCCCATTTTCACTAACGCCCTTTAAAGCTTTAGGTTTTTGTTAATCTTGCTAGGTGTTAGTTTTGTTTTGGGAGGTTGTATGTCTAGTGTTTTTTTTTTATGTCTCAGTGGTTCCTTGCTCTTGCCTATGTAGATGCCGTACGACAGTTTCTTTGCCAGGGTAAAAAAAAAAATCTACTGCTTCCAATTTTTTTATTTGATAATGCTTTGTTATTTGTTAAATGTAAAAATGGCATATTCATAAAATTCTATATATATGTAAGAATGTTAAAACTTTTATATATGATACATATAAGCATGGCTAATTGGCTATATATGGGGAAAATTTAATATATATGTGTGTTTATACATGTATTTTCAGAGTATGGCGGCTTCCAATCTTTTGATTTGACAATATATTACCTTCATTTAATTTAAAATGACATATTTATAAATAGGGTAATGAACAAAAAAAAGAAAAAAAAATCTCCTATATTTTTCGAATTGAGCAAATAAAGACAATCTTTTAATTTAAAGACCGAAATATCTAAAATGCCCTTACAACATAATAAATAAAAAAAAAAAACACTTATTTCAAAATTTTAGGATTTTATAAAATAAAAAAAATAAAAATTAGGTTTTATAATAATTTTGGGATTTTGGGGTATATTAGGCTTATAATATATCTTAGGATATATTAGACATTTCATATCACTTAAGGCTGTGTTTGGCTCCATTTTTTTAAAATGGGGTGTCATTGTTCAAGTTTACAAATATAAGGGGTGTCTTTGGGGGTTAAGTTGTATATGACTGTCAATATGACAAATCTCAGGGGATGTCGTTGTAATTAACCCTACAATTTATATATATGAAGATATTTATTTATTTATTTATTTATTTATTTTTTTTTTTTGACACTTTACCCTTTAAATACGAGTCCTACCCACCCCACCATAATGATCATAATTGCAATATTTAATAGGTGGCCCACAAGAAACACCACACATCATGAGGCAGCAAACAAGGACGACGGAACAACGCACATTACCGGAACAGTATATCGCCGCCATGCTGCCATCCCATAAGCTCCAACATCATAAATGTCCTTTGCAACATAAACCTTAACCAAGCATAGAAAACATCCACAAATATCCATATCGGATATGCACAAACCTGGCTATGCAGTCCGGTAACGGCCATCCACAATCAAGAGGAAAAAACGGTCGACTGAAACACAACTTGGATTTGGGAATAGACTTCCATGAAACAACAGAACATCGGCCTTGAAACTCCAGAGCTGATGAAGCATAAAAATCTCCTTGACCATGGAGCAACAGAATAGCTGCCCTGAAACTCCAGATCTAACGGAGCATAAAAATCGGCCTTGCAAAATTGAAAACTCCGGCGACCAGAGGTGTCCAAAAAGCCATGGATGATGAGCAAGTAAACACCGCTGACACCAAGATAGAAAAGGCAAACCCGACCTCGGCAACAAAAAACATAAAACAAACATTAAAATTAAACACGAAACAAAGGAGAAAAGAACAACACCCAGATTAAAAGGAAAGATTAGCAAAAAGTGGGTATCAATTTTGCCAAAGGCACAAAAACTCCAAATTTACAAGCCTTCGCTCACAGGTACTTCTCCGGCTAGACAACCGACAAGATCGACGAACAGGAGACGAGAGAGAAGTAATCTTAGCAAAAACACACTAGCGTGGGGACAATCCCAAACTCTGATAAACAGAGGACCTCAACGTATCGAGAAACATGTTGAAACTCAGTTCAACAGCTCTCATGTGACCTCCCTCGCCTGCGGAGAACATGGAAGCTCTAGATCGTTGAAGCTTGATGTCGTGGAGCGAGAATTTCTGACCAACCACACTCTCTTATGTGAAAAAGAAAGGCGACACAGAAACCCTAGCAAGAGGGGAAAGAGGCACATGTCAGATGTGATTGGCGGTGACTGTAAGTGTCATTGTTAACCTGAATGGATCTTATTATTAAAAAAAAAAACAAATGTGTATCTCACCAGGATGTCAATGTAATTTATCATTCAATCTTCAAATCCGCAATGTACATTCATTTTCGATTTTCTATTCCTTTCAAAGTTTTATTAGATATAAAAAAATAAAATAAAAGAGAATATCTTACCAAATCTTACATCGTGACCTACAGCTGTAGAATCTAACACGTGGAATGAATATGATACCTTCCGAAAAAAAATATATATATATAATATAGGGTTAATTACACTTACCTCCCTTGAGGTTAGGCCTAATTACAGGCGGTACCCCTAACGTTTAAAAAATTACACTTACCTCCCTCCAAACTGATCGGCATTTTATTCCGGCCATTGACCATGTTAAATGACTAAAACACCCTCTAATATTTTATTAATATGACATGACAATGTGAAATTACTATATTGTCCACAAATAAAGTGATACTTGTGTAACATATACACACCTACATGTACAAACCCCCGCCGCCCGCTGTCCCCCACCCACCAAGGAAACCATTTTCTCCGGCGACCAATTTTATTCAATGTAACCATTTCCTCTGACGATCCATTACATTAATCATTACCACTCAACTTTCCCTCTATATCACACACACCATGAATACATACACAGACAACTACCACACAACCACCACCATCATAATCATCACCACTAGCAGACTCTTCTACAACGACAACCAACACGGCATTATCATCCACAAGCGAAGCCAACGGTAACGACCTAAAATAAGGAGACTGAGGAAGAAGAAAACTTGGTGGATCCAAGAAAGTGTTTCAACTGGTCAAACTTATGTATAGATATATAGATGTATGGGCAGGGCAGAACAGAGCTACCATCTCCGGCATAAATTCACCGATCTGAACATGAACATCTACCGCCTTGACTTCGCCGACATGGATGTGATTGCCATAATATTCACCGGCGAAGTCGCACCTGGCAAAACTCCAGATTGGATGCAAATCCAAATTCAGAAACCGTAGTGAGCTCGGCCGGTTCTCGTTGGTGAAGCGGTTCGAGTCGTCGATCAATTGAGAGCTGCGAGACTTGTGAAATGACGACGATTTGACAACGCTGAAGACGATGTTGTCGATTGGGTTGATTGAAGTTCAGATCGATGAAGAACTCGAATAGGTTTTGATCTATGGGGGGTGTTTTTGGATTAAGGTGTAGCCGCGGACGGCAAAGCCGAGGAGGAGAGCTGCTCTGTCGGCGGAGGGGATTCCATAGATGCCGGCGGCAAGGGGCTCCATTGATTTCAGCAGCGATTGTTGTGGCGGTGATGATTTGTAGCTATGTATATATATGTAGATCTAGAATGAACCAATGTGTGTGTGTGTGTGTATATATATATATATATAGAGAGGAGTCCAGTAGATATATATTATGGGGAAGGCGGCGAGGCATGCTGGACGACGGAGAGGAATACTAAGTAGCCATGAGGGAGCCAACGAAGGGTAGAAGGCGCGGTGGGCGCAGAGGATGAATCCGCCGTTGTTGGGGGAGGTGGCGATCTCGGTAGTGATGAAGATATATATATACACACACACACACACATACACTGATATTACATAGTATTTGTCCCTTTTTTTTTTTCTTTTTTTTTTTTTTTCTAGGTATATAAGTTATTTTAATACAAAAATAAGAGTTAAAATGTCTTTGCAAATATAATAAGGGCAGATGTGGTATTACAGGGTTAAAAAGTGCTGATGTCATCAAAAATCATCATTGACCGGCGTTGACTTTCACGGGAGGGGACTAAGTGTTACGACGGAGCGAACCTTAAGGGAAAACGGTGTAATTTTTTTAACGTTAAGGGTATCGCCTGTAATTAGGCCTAACCCCAAGAAAGATAAGTGTAATTACCCTATATATATATATATATATATATATATATATTGAGATGAATATGATGCTAGACTGGCACAGCAGTCAAAGGCTCAAAGCAAAAGACTTTTAAGCCCTTGTAGGTGAGTTTCCAGCGAGATCAACAGTTCTGCAAATCTGACCTTTTTGTTTTCAGATCTGCAAATCTAAATTTTGCCTGATCATTCTGCTAAGACTATTGTTGATCAGATCTTTCCAAGAGGTCAACACTACTTGTTCATCCAAAAAATTGAGATGACAGTCGACACTGCAGCAGATTTTCTGTTGGAGTACTTGATGCAGCTAATAAACTGCGACAACAGATTGATTGTCAAGGCTTATGAGGCCAAACTCATTGAGAAGGAAGAAATTGAATGGCTTTATGAGGAGATGCAGTTCCTGCGGAAATTTCTCAAGGATACAGAGGACATACGCCCCAACAAGCAGGCTTATGTTGAGAAGGTGAAAGAAATTGTGGCAAAAATCAGAGATGTGATTTACGAGGTTGAAGTTATCATAGACTTGTGCTTACTCGATGCTGCTATCACATTGGAGGAGAAAGAAATTGATCATTTCCCAGATGATGATTTGGTGCTGAGAGATGTAAGAAGATTTCTCAAAATTCTCAAAAAGCGGCCAAGACGCAGTCGTTCTTTTGAAAATACGGACACAAAATTTGTAGTTGATGCATTTAAGTGGGATGGTTCTATGACTTCACGGCCTAATCCATTATATCCTGCTGAAGGCGAAATTCTGGATGAGGACATTCATCTCCCTGATGATGGCGAAAATCTGGATGAAGACATTAATTTCCCTTTTTCTTCAGAAGCATATATTCCCTGTCGTGCTGTTCGGTCTTCTTTCCGGCGTAAACCCAGAAATACATGTTTATTCATTCCCCACATATCTTCTCCTAAAGTTCTTAATGGCTTAAAAGGCGTCATAGAAGAGATTAAGTTTATTAAGACAGAGGTGATCCAAACTTATGAGAAGATGACATGCGGCATTGGGGTTCCTCAAATTCAGGAGTCTTCTCATGTATATTCAACAAGAGCCACCAGCCCCACAGTGGAGAGAGAAATCGTAGTTGGTTTGGAGGATGAAACAACCGCAATAATTGATTTGCTTACTGAAGGCCATGAAAAGCAGTTAAAGCTTATTCCGATCGTCGGGATGCCGGGACTCGGTAAGACTACTCTGGCCACAAGACTGTACAATCATTCTTTCATCATCTATCACTTTTATGTTCGTGCATGGACTCATGTTTCACAAGTATACCATAAGAGAGATTTGTTGCTTAGCATTTCAAATTCTGCTAATATTCAACTTGCTTGTGACAAATTAAGCGATGAAAAATTAGGTGAAGAATTGTACAAACACTTAAAGGGTAATAGATATCTCATTGTGATGGATGATATATGGAACATCAGTGCTTGGAATGATTTGAAAAGATATTTCCCAAATGACAACAATGGAAGTAGAATTATTTTCACTACTCGGCTTGGAGATGTGGCCACACTTTTGCATGCTAAACCTCACTATTTGCGGTTTCTAAATGAAGATGAAAGTTGGAATCTATTGCAACAAAAGACATTTCAGCATGATAATTGTCCTCCAGATTTGAAGGAAATTGGGAAAAGAATTGCAAAAAAATGTGGTGGACTACCACTTGCAATTGTTGTCTTATCAGGACTTCTCGCAAAGAATGACAAGACACCAGATTGGTGGAGGCATGTTGCTAAAAGTGTAAGTTCATACATTGTTAGGGACCCAGAACAATACATGGACACACTAGCATTCAGTTACGACTACTTGCCTAATCACTTGAAACCTTGTTTCCTCTATTTCAGTGCATTTCGGGAAGATTGTGAAATCCCGGTGTGGCAGTTGATATGGTTATGGGTGGCGGAGGGATTTATAAAGCAAAATGAGTCAAAGAGCTTGGAGGATGTGGCAACAGATAACTTGATGGATTTAATTAGCAGAAGTCTAGTAGTTGTATCCAAGAAAAGGTCTAATGGTGGAGTCAAAGCATGTCGCATCCATGATCTCTTGCGTGATTTATGCCTGAGAAAAGCACAGGAAGAGAATTTTCTCCTCCAGAACTCTAGGTTCAAACAAACTTCTTTTTCTTCCTCTTCAAGCCTTGTTGCAAATAAGCAGCGGCGCTTATGTGCCGATACTCGCGTTGTTCATTATATTGGTGTAGAGCATCTTGTGACATATGTTCGCACTTTCTTGTCCCTTGACCGTTCATTTCATGACTTATCTAAGGAGGATGTGCCATCCATTTGTCAATCCTTTCAACTTCTTCGGGTTTTAAATTTATCATCCGTCGATGTCCCCTTTTTTCCTATAGAAATAAAATTGCTAGTTCATTTGAGATATTTAGCACTTTTTAGTGTTAGTTATCGACGTTTCGATTCATCTATATCCAACCTCTCAAACCTAGAAACTTATATTGTTGGTGGATTTGGCGGTCGTGTGGCTTTACCAGATAATATGTGGAAGATGATGAAGTTGAGGCATTTGTATACTAAGCATTTTTTAGAACTCCCTCAGGCGACCAATCTCCCTTATCACTCGGCATTAAATAACCTACAAACCATTGGCAAACTAGATCTTAGAGATCGAAACAATCAAGTCTTGGCATTGATGCCCTACCTCAGAAAACTGAAATGCGTGTCGGATGATTTTCCTAAATTGGACTTTCTATTTTACCTTGAAACATTGCAAGTAATAAGTAGTAAGAAGTTCAGAAGAAAGGGCAAGCTTCCACAAACAAGTTGGTTTCCCCCCAATCTTAAAAAACTGACTTTATCATTCTTTCGTTTGCCTTGGGAGGAAATGCGGACCCTTGCGAGGTTACCCAACATTGAGGTTCTCAAATTATCGCGTGAGGCCTTCGAGGGATCAACTTGGGATGCAAATGACAGTGAGTTTCGCACATTACGATTTTTGAAATTACAGGGCCTGGACATTGAGCAGTGGAATGCCTCTAGTAAACACTTTCCCAACCTTCAGCGGTTGGTGTTGGATCGCTGTCAACAACTCAAGCAGATCCCTAATGATTTAGGGGAAATATCTACACTGGAGATGATTCAACTGCAATATTGTAGCAACTCTGCTGAAACCTCTGCCAGGAAAATTCAAGAAGAACAACAGAGTTTGGGCAATGATGGGCTTGAGATCTTTGTCCAGAGTTGGCGTCACGACTAGATGATCTTGGAGGATGAGGTACATATAGTATAGCATACTGACTCATTTAAGTAATGCTTTTCTAGGATTTCCAATTCTGCTACTTCTTCTTCTTCTTCCTATATTTTCTCTCTGTACTTTTTACTTTTGATTACAAATATTCACATTTCTGATCTTTGTTTATTATATTTTAATTAACTAATACTGTAGTATTTCTAATTAATCTCTAATTCATTATGTGTTTTATCTCTCTTAATCATGGTTTTTGTGCATTACTAGATCAGGAAAAAAAAATTTGATAGTTTTGCAGCATAAAGAATAAATTATCAAAGAGCATTTCAATGTTGTATTCAAACCTTAATGGTTAAAGTTATATCTACCCAGCTGATGTTTTGAAAAACAAACCTAATAAATTGACTTGTGTATGATTTTTAGTGTATAGTTTCTTTTGAGAACTTCAAAGTATTAGATTGCCTCTGCATAATTTAGGTTATAATCTCTTTAGTTCTTAAATGTGATATATACAACAGTTTTGCATGAATATAGTTACCTTCATTTTTTATTTTGTACGACATGTTGCACTTCTCATTTTTCGGTGTGTATCGATTTATGTTCAAATTGTTTGTTTTATCAAACTACTGTCAGCAGTTATTTTTGTAGAAGTTGTTATACATTAACCCTAAGGCAGTGGTAAAGAATCAAGTCTCGTAAGGTAGAGGTCTTGAATTCGATTCTTCTCTCTTGAGACTAGGCTACACAGAGTTTCTCCTTAGATTAAAATTGTCACGTAGTATTACTCAAATCATCAGAAAATATATATAAATGTAATGCACTCTTTAATTCTGGTTTAGAGCAAAATTCTCTAATACAAGATACATATATCTATGGATAACATTCCAATATATATCTTATTTTTAGATGTCTTAAACTTGCCCTTTAAATCTAAATATGAATAGAGGGCTTAGTAAGTGCTTTATTTTGGCTGGTCAAATCATAGGAAAATTAGAGATGCCTCTGCTAGTCAACTGAAGATCATGTCTAGAGACCAACTGACGTGAGAGGTTAGAAGAGGGTGTTTTTGCTGATATTTTTGAGAAGAAAAAATTTAAGACCTTTACAAAATTGGAAGAAGGCAAAAAAAAAAAAAAAAAATTCCCTTCTGCTTTAGAAAGCAAGATAATACCACTAACTATAGCCCTTGGTGATTGAAGTGGTCCCATAGGGAACAAAGAAAACTGGTATGTAAATTGCCACAAGAATGAAGATGTGTGGTTGGAATACATCAGAAGGCAATTTGTCTATGGAAATTACCTGTAACAACCCACTCAAAAGAAGGATAATCTTAAAGTTTAAATTTTAAATTTAAATTAATAAAAACTCTAGAGATAGCTTAAACCTTAGTAAATAAGAATTTTCTTTCTAATTTAAGAAGTTGTGTCCATATCAATCAGAAGGGAGAAGGAATAAAAAAATGTGAGTATAGGGTGAGACCTGAAGTGATAGACGGATAGGATAATTCATCATCGCCATTATCATCATTGTCTTAATCCGATATGAATGGATCAGCCACATGAGTTCTTTTTTATTTTTATTTTTTCATTCTTGTCTATTTTATTAGATTTATCTTTCTAACATCATTTCTACTAATCTTATCCCATGTTAATTTCTGTTGCCCTCTCTGAGTCTCCTCTCTTCTATTCAAATTAGTCTTCCTCTTCTTACTGGTTCCTCTACAGGTCTTCTTTGTATATGTCATTGACTCCATTCCACTTAAATCTACTCTAATTAATAGGTGTCACTCTTAATTTCTCCCAAATTTTGATTAGAATGCTATCAACTCCTGATTATCCAATATCAGGCTACATCTCACCCGAGGACTTGGATCCTCTACGTTCTTTTTTTGGTCCGCTTCCATCTGCTGCTCAATTAAGCGGTGGACATGCGGCCACGTGTACATACAGATCTCAAAAGTAAAAATTGAATCTTTTAAAAAGAAGTTGCCAAAATTACCCTCTGTACTCACCATTACTACAAAAGTGTCGCCCAATATTATATCTCTCCGTAGTCCATATTTACTGACAGATACATATATGTATATATATATGTTGTACATCTCCCCGTAACCAGAATCTCCCTAATCCATGTGAGGCCGGTGTCATTTTTCATTTTTTCAGGCATTTTCTTATTCTTAGCATATTATTATTGTGTGTACGGGGATACATGCTATGTGAATTGGAAGGTTTGTCATTTCTTCGACTCTCGAACTCTTAAAAATGTATTTAGAATTATTTTTTAACTTTTTCGAGCATTTTGGCTTTGTGGGCCCGAGAGGTCCCATGTGGGTCTTACTTAGGGATAGCAATTTACCCCGCCTTGTCCCGTTTAAAGCGGATTTGAAGAACCGTTTATTTAAATGGCTTGGGGATAGGGGTTGGGAAAAAACAACCGGCCGGATTTGGGGCTGGGGTAGGAGAGGGGTACCCCGCCCCACAACCGCCCCGATTACATATGCAATTACTCCTATTTGCCCTGCCATGTTACTATATTTACCGATTTAACATATTATATATATAAGTATCATATTATATTATATATACAATTCTAAATAAACCATACTCATTTCTATCTTCTAAAGCTATGCGGAGCGGAGCCGGGGCAAGCGGGGATTGGGCGGGGGGCGGTTACGGAGATTGGAGATAAAAAAATAATCAGTTATGGGACAGTTTCGGAGGTGCCAAATTTAAACGGGAATGAGGATGGGGAATGAGAAACCTGCCCCAACCTTCCCCATTGCCATCCCTAGTCTTCCTTGAGATTTTGTGCTCTGAAAATCTTCCGACCTTATCTTATTACCTTATTTTAGCATTGGTGTAATTAAATTATGTTAAGTCAAAAGAAGGGACATGGAAGGAATAAATGAACTTATAGTGCTTGGAGGGACCACCACTTTGACTAGGTGTACGTAAAGATGATATTAGTCATTTTTGAGCCACACTTCTTTCCTTCTTCAGTAGTGCGTGCTCTCTCTCTCTACCTCCCTCTCTATCTTTTGTTTTTATTATTATTTTATTATTATTATTATTATTATTTTAATTAACTTTTACATGCTTAAGAGGAGTGTTTGATCTAGTTAGGCTTGGATTTTGAGGAGCATGTAGAAGAGAAGTTCAACGAGCACTACGAGAGCTTTGCACCGGTGGTCTTAGAACCCAATTTGCACTTGGATCCATTTTGGGGTTTTGCCTAGAATTCGAGGTAATTGTGTGTAACCCATATTTTCTTAAGTTCTAGTGAGTGATTTGTATGTTTTATGTGATAATACATGCTTAGGAGAGTGGATGACATGTTTAGTATGAGGGTGGTTGTTAAATTGCTAAATTCCAAGCTATCTTGTTGAATATTTGTTGAATTCGTGCAAATGGTGCTAAATTTCTTATAATATGAGCCCTATGTGTAATATGCAAGAGATAATTAGGACTATGTATGTTTTATATGATTCTAGAGTTGTCAATTTGTTGGAAATGTTTCCATTATATTCTTCCATGTCTAATGCATGCCATGTGTTCGATTAATTGCCTAAGTGAGCTTATGTGATAAAATTGCTTTGTAAGGACATGTTGTTTAGCATACATGATTATGTGAGATGATAATTCATGATGTAAGGAGGCATTAACATTAACATGATACTTATGCTTACATCACTCATGTGTTGTGGAGGCATGTGTGATGGTTTGTGGGAAAATGATTTTTTAAAGTTTGTGGCGAAGGTTTTGCGAAAACCGAGCGACATGGAGTTGCCATTTGTTCGGAGTGTCAATTCAATCTAGAGGGATAGCGGGGAGACTCCCTCGTGAATAATTGAGCTACCTAGGCTCCAAATGGCGCTAGGGAGTCGCCATAGGCCAGGGATAGTTAGCTAATCTTCCCTCGTGGTTGCAGGGAGTTACCTCTAGTCGGATTGTCTTGACGATTTTGGTGTGAGTTGAGTTTTAGGGTTGGGACGGGTAATGCGTGAGTGTGTTCATGGCATATAGCATCCATTTAAATATATCTCCTAAGATTCTTTTGTAATGGTGCCCTTAATTTTGCCAAATACCGAGTATTATATATAATCGCTGGCATAATTCAAACATCCTAGGAAAGATTGTAATTTCTTTTGATCCATAATTCTATCAGGATACTCATAATTTTATTATCTTTACTTTAATAATATTTTCGGATTACATGCTCCGTTTATAACCATTATGAGGGAGTTTAAATGTTTTTGGGGGCGAGGATGAAGGTTAGGGTTAAAAACCTGCAAAGCTATGGGGCGAGGATGGAAAAGGTCACACCGGCCCACCCGCCCTACTTATACTAATAAATTATAATTTTGTCTTTATACTTTATTTTATATTCAATAATATTAGGTATATATTAAGCAAATCCTAATTTTTTTTATTACAATCACTAAATATCCTTTTGTATTATTCTTATTTGATGAGAATTAATTTTTTTATTAATTATTCTTATTTGAAATTATAATTACAAAAATACTTTACAAAACCAGTTCCCAACCCGTTTAGTTTACGGTTTTGGACGGAGAGGGGGGTAACTATGCTAAATGGGGATGAGAATGGTTCCTCGCCCCAAACCATCCCTACCCATGGGGGCATTGTGGGTGCCCGAGTGTGTTTTTTGCCAACGAAAAGAAAAAATGAGAGTGTTTTTGTTCAATCTGTGAATAGACGCACTACAATAGCTATTTTGAGAAATTATTACGTGGTCTTGAGACCAATGGCATGAAGCTTAAATCATATGAATGAGAGTCAGGTCTTGAGTTTATTTGCTTTTAGCTTAATATGGTATCTATAGCATAGCCGTTTTAAGAAATTATTACATTGTCGGGGACCAATGGTATGAACTTGTACTCTTGCCACTGAAATGGGTACAACAACCTACGAAACAAAACTGGTCAGACAATCCAAGTAGCAGTGGTAATGTGGTATAAATTGGAAGCCAAACTAGTCACAAAACTGAATAAAAAAGGGTGCAAACTCAATGTAAAAGTGGTGCTGACAGAAAGTTATGTAGCAAAGATTGCACATACACTTGATCGAATGACATTCCAGAACCTGATGCAGTTCATATTTCAAAGATTGCGGATGTCAGTTAAACTCATTCTCTCCCATCCCACCTCTGAACCCCTCTTCTTCGACGCATCATTTCAGGGTATACATGTTCAAAAAAGAATCCATGGAACAATATGCTACTGCTCAAACATGGAAGAATTGAAATCTTAGATCAAAACACTATGTATGGATGGTATGAACTGCCTAAACAAGAATTCTTGAACAGTGAACAACTAGTTCAGATATTCACGACCAACTGGATTCTCTTTCAGATAGGCCCTGAAAGGAGAAAAAAGGCGCGTGGTTATTTCAACTTTGAGAATTCAGATATAACTATAGGGACAAATGAGAGTAAGGTACAAACCACAATTAGAGTATGTACTACACATCCATCTTGATAGAGAATCAAAACAAACCACACAAGTTCTGTTTTTTGGCAAGTAAAACAAGTCACAAAAGTTATCATTAGGCAGAGATTAAACTGAAGTAGACCATCCACCAAAGACTTTTGATGAAAACGTTTCACTTTTGCCATTGTGTCTGAGATTGTCTCAGCAATCTTCTCAGCCTCAGCCTTCATTGGAGTCAGCTCATCCTCTGCTAAAAGGACTTTCTCCTTTAAAGTTAGAATCTTCTTCTGTAAAGAAAGAATTTGCTCCTCCGAATCTAGAATCTCCATGTTGAAGCTTTTTAACTCTTCCTTTTTCTTCTCAATGACTTCAGTTCTTCTTCTTTGTGCATTCGTCAGTCTGGGATAGCCCTTGCACAGATCAATGGCCTCGGAAATAACATCCAGCCTCTGATGCAACCATCCAACCTCCAGCTTTACGGATTGCACATCACGGACATGATCAAAGCATGGATTTGAGGTCTACAGGCTTGATATGTATGAATTCTGTATCCTCTAGTTTCTGGATGATCTCACAGACTATCTCCAGGAGAGACGAACGAGATCTAATACCTACAAAGGAGCAATCCTTGGCATTATCTCCATGTCTCAGAAATATGGCGTTGAGGAGAGATGCCCATTCCGGCTTCACTCTGTACCCATTAACCGCGACCAAAGTCGAATAAAGAGAAGATCCAATCTCATTGAGATCAGAAGAGTTGTCATCCAACATTTCATCCATTCCCGTTAGGTTAAGACTAGAATTTTGGCCTAGATGCTCTTCCCTTTGGTTACCATTGTTGGCACACCCTTCTGCTCTGCTCCCAACAATATTTGTTTGAGAAGTAGACACCTGTAGGGACAATGCCAATACATAGACTGATTGAGATATGTATGTATATGAAGTATGTTAAGCCATATAAGTATGCCTCTGCTTTTGAAAAGCACAAATGCTCACTTGAACTCATCCCCAGCGTGAACTTTCAAAAGCTTATCAGCTAAAGTATTGATCTTTAGTCCCTTTTTTTTTTTTTGTTTGAACTGTCTTCCTCTTATTCCTAGCATGGACTCATTATCAATTGTAGAGATGGGAATAGATTTCTCATCACCAACTCTAAGCCTACGGTAGCTACAGTCAAATCTAGCAATGAGGTGGAGGCAAACATAGCAATGGGAGAATTTCAACTCCAACAGATTTCCGAATCCAATCTGTTGAACTGCCTTCCTCTTATTCTCGTCGAATTGAGATATGACTTGGATGAACTTACACAATGAAGATCTATGAAAATGTTGTCACACCTCCTTTTTGTTCTTTTTTTCTTTTTCTTTTTCTTTTTTCTCCTGAATATGGTTAATATTATTACTGTAACAAAGATTTACAAAGAATACACACGAAAAGAGGAAGTCCCTCAAAGAAAAACACAGAGCAAAACACGCGCGCGCACACACAAAAAACTCTCAAGATCAGCAACATTAATGCCCATAAACTGAAGAGAAACCAAGCACGAAGAAATAGCAATATTTTCAGATGATTTCTTGATATATTCATGAAGTCTTCTATTTCTTTAGCCCCATAATTACTCCCAAGTACATTGACAAAGAAGGCTTTACTCAGTTTTTTTGCCAGTGAATTAATAACAAGTTACAATGTCAATGGCTAAATTAATTTAAGAGATATAATCCAAATTAAATGTCATTTTGTTAAAACTGTATTTATATATATCGGTGTTTATATTGAATATACAATGAGGACTATATATATAGACGGAAGAACTTGGAGCCCAAGGCTGAACAACATAGGAGTATCGAATATGTTAAGACTATGTAATCTAACGATGTTGTGGTATCGAATAACACATTATACCTTATTTTTCGAAGTACAAGAACCATAAGGCTCCTCCTCGACCTGATCAGTCATTTGGTTCCGGTGCGTGGACGCCTCTTTCATCGTGAAATGCCATTGGCATTGGCCTTGTCGCCATTAGATTTTTGTTCCTTAATAATATTGTTATTGATGGACCTGATATCATACATAACATTTGGAAACAAATCATTACGTACATAAAATGCTTAAACAAGTAGATAGAGAGAAATATGAATGTTAAATGTTTACTTAATTCGAATGGAGATTTTCGCAGGCTGCTTCGAAGATTTGGCAACTACAGTTGCTTTTGGTGTGGAGTGAACATCTCCTGCACTAACATTTTCATCTTCTCCATCACTAATCGAAACAACATAGCGTCTCCTTTTTTGTACAATTCCTCCCGCCATTGAAATTTATACAGCAATCTATGAACCAAAACTGGTCAGACAATCAAAGTAACTAAAACTAATAACAAACTCAATTTTTATATATATATATATATAAAAAATAAAATAAAAATAAATAAAATAAAAAAATGGTGGTACAATTTGGAACTAAAAGGATGCAACTTTGAAGTGTGAATTGGAAGTAAAAGTGGTGTAATATCGAAATTAAACACATTATGAAAAGGTATTTTCTGTTGCATTCTTGGGATCTCAGAGAAACACACTTTGATTTTGGGGAATAGTGAAAATTTCTAATGTTATGTTTGGGAGCACTGGATCCACAGCTTCAATTTAGTTCAACAATCATGTCAGTCCCCTAATCTAGAAAAAGAAAAAAAAAAAAAAAAAATTGTAATAAGATTATGAAGATTCAAGTGGAATTTGAGGGTATACCCATTAGAATGAGAGTCCATTGAGAACATATATTTTGAATTAAAGAGAAAATATATATATATATATATATATATATATATATATATATTATAATGAACTGTTTGCAAGAAATTAAAGTACAATATATATATATATATATATATATATATATATATATATATATTATAATGAACTGTTTGCAAGAAATTAAAGTACAATGAAGTAAAGCTAAGGTACAAGTAATGTAAAGCTTGAAAAGATAAAATAAACTGCATGATTATAATGAAATAAAGTTTACTGCACTTACATGTAGGAGATGAAGTAACTGATCCTGGTAGTGGTACGCATCTCCTTCCCAGCAAATTCAGCTCAATTTATAGTGTTCTTGTATTAAATATTAGTATAAATTGCACTGACACTTTCTTTAGGTTTTAATCAATGCCACTAAGTAGACGGTCAATGATTTTTTTTACATGGACACCTCTTAAAGTTTCGAAAAGGTATATGTCTATCTTTTCAGACCTCTGAAATCACATAAAATTACCTTTTTAACTTTTTAACTTGTCCACAACTCTATTTAAATCATAAAATTACAAATTTAACTTTCTAACTAAATTTAATAAACTAAACTAACTTTTTCATCTCTTCTATACATATAGTTTATTAATAATAATACTTGTAGCACCATAATCATCACCATGACATAAATAATAATAATAATAACAACAACAAAAAATTAAAATTAATTTTTTTTTAAATTACTAGATAACTGTACACCACCACCACCCGAAAACAGATGTAAAGGAGGGCTCTGATGGGCTTGAGCACCCCCTAAAAATAAATAAATAAATAAAAATTGAAAACAGCCATGGCCAGCCTAAACTTATACGTCCCAAACGTCACTAGAACTACCATACACCATGACAACACCACCAACCACAACAACCACCACCAAAAAAATAAATAAATAAATAAAATGAGTCGTGTCAAGGAAAACAAAAAAAGGAGTGAAAGATTAGAAAGAGGCTTGATGATGTCAATTAATATGGCTGATATTTTGTAAATTAATTAAATTAAATAATTAGGAATAAATATGACATTTGAAATCATAGGGGGTGTCATTATTTAAAAAGCCGTTGACCAGTAATTAAGTGACATTGACCAAAATCTCATGAGGTGTCAATGCAATTTACCCTAAATATAAATATGACATTTGGCACTTCATCATCACTTCTAATTTTTTAAGTTGTCATATATATATTCATAAATAAATATATTACACATATATATACAAGTATGTAAGCATACAAAATAGGGTAAAGTGAGAAAAATAACCCTAATATTTAAATTTTGCAGGGTTTTTTATTATTATTATTTGTAATTACTAGCATAGAGCACGTGAAAATATAAATGAAAATCTTTTTAAGTTTTTTTTTTTTTTTTTACTTCAATTATTGAATAGTTGAAATTTTTTTTGAAATTAAAAATTAAATTTTATATTACCAATTTTTTTAATGAAATAAAACTGCGAACATTTTGCTCATTTGAAGATTTCAAATGTGAAAACCTTTAATTTATTTTTATAAATATTTAGTTAAGTAATTTTATGCTTCATTGAACATTTACTTCAATTACTTTTATAAGCATTTAATTAAATTTTGAATATTGAATAAGCAATTTTCAGAAAAATCTTTAATGAGTATGCATTACATAATTTACATTACATTCTGCAAAACAAATGAGATATTAGATTAGTGTATGACTATTATTCATCAATGAGCGACAATTGTGGATCAAAACCCTAATAATAAATGTTTATATAGTTGAAAACACAAATTATGACCAACAGAGAAAAGTAAAAAAATAATTGGAAGCTAAACAACATTAATAGTCAGCGTGTCAATTCTGATTTTCTACGTTTGAGCAAATGTTACATTATAATAAGATTTTATTCACAATAAATATTATTTTAGTACCTTTAAATATATTTAAATCATTTCACATTTCAAATTTATTCATTTGCTAGAATTTCAAACATTATATTAGACATTCTTTTACCACAGAGCTTCTTAAACTAGAAGATTATTATGATTTCTCTAACCTTTTAATTTGACATGTCACATTACTTGTCGTATACATTTTTTTAATTTGACATGTCACATTATTGAATAGTTTTTTATTTCAATTTTCAAAGCATTATTTTACTGTCCGTCTAATTACTACTCTCTCTGTCTCATAATAAATATTGATCATTTTAGGGAGTTGAACTTGGAACATGCAATTAATGCATGATCTCTTCTCAAAATTATCTTATTTTCTTTTTTTAAGGTGAATATATATATAATTAAATTTGAATTTTTTTTTAATGCATGATCTCTTCTCAAAATTACCTTATTTTCTTTTTAAAGGTGAATATATATATAATTAAATTTGAATTTTTTTAAAAAAAAAAATAAAGGTGTTTAAATTTTAAGAGTGTTTGTAAAATATTTTATTTTAATTTTAGTAAATAAACAAATATTTTGGGACAACTTGAAAAGAAAAGATGGACAACTAAATTAGAACGAGGGAGCGTGCATAAATACAATGTCTATGCATGCCTCTTGAGTTCATTTGTTTTTGGTTTAAGATAGCTGTTTTTGCAATTTGTCAGTTTCTTACATTTCTTGTTTATCATATTGGCATATTCATAAACCTAGCCATAAGATGGCCTCTGTGTAGGTTCCATAAACGTTAATTTGCATGCCAAATTTGGAATAAATATTATGTGTGCTTGGTATACTGTGCATCGGATTAATCTGAGTTGTTCGTAATATGCACGCGCCAACATGTGTTGTGAACGCATTGCTCAGATTAGTCCAGGTGCACGATGTGTAACGACCCGAACCCGTGGGTCCGAATCGCTAGCCGGGTCCTTACCCGAACCCGAGAACATCCAAGGGTAAAACGGTCAACTAAGGTGTGGTAATAAATAATATAACTCTAAATAAGTCCAATTGGGTCAACATAAGTCATAAAGGGTCATTTAAACCCATGACACAAGGTCATGGACATAAGAATGAAGATTTCACACAATTACTCCCTTCGTTTTCAAAGAATTTTGGAGTTGTCCACACTAAAAAGGTCATAACTCTCCCTACGATTAGAATTTTTGAGTGAAATTAATTTCATTGGAAAGCTGATTTAAAATCCTTGAAGTTAGACTCAAATTTGACCCAATTTGGAGTTAAAATGAGTGAGATACGATCGTTTGAAATCTGGGATTCAAAGTTGTCACAATTTCATTTCAGCAGACATGTGAGTGCTACATCGGTCGGCCGAAATGACCCATCGGTCGACCAAAATGACACTCCGGTCAACCGGTTGTGGCTCTGGAGTGTCTGAGGCTACTGGTTTCAATTCTAAATGAGAACGATCGATCGAAATGGCTTACCGGTCAACCAAAATGGCCCAGAAATACGTTTTTCACACTATTTGAATGCCCGAACAACTTGGCATCACATGGTTTGTACTTAAAACTTTTGATATGATGAAATCCTTATCCCAAACAAACATAAACATGCTCACATTGATAAAATAATATTCATATATCATAATGAGGTTGAATTACATCATTATACATCAAGATTTATTCAATTACATTGAACATGAATATATGGACTTCAAATCATAAACTTCCTAACTACGTAAAAGCGTGTGAAGGCGTCTTATCCACTCCGTCACTTCTAAAATCCTGAAAATGTTTAAGATAAGACGGATGAACACCACTACTCAGTAGAGAATGCCTAAATGACGTTTCCTCAAGTCAAGTAAGCATGACACATAACACGAAAGAGCATAATAAGATGAGTGAATTTCAACACATTTTCCATCATCCCACACAATTACAATCTGAATAATGACTTTACTTTAGTGTAACGACTCACTCAACTACATGGTATGATATTGTCCGCTTTGGGTCTGAGCCCGCACAGTTTTGCTCTTGGGCTTTACCCCAAAAGGCCTCATACCAATTGGAGATGACACACTTACATATAACCATTTCACATTTCCTCTACCCAGGCGATGTGGGACTGTGCACTTGTAGCTCACTAGTGTGATAGCCTGACAGTGTCTCTTGCACCCGCCCACGGCACACCCGCCCATAGGGTCATCACAATCCACCCCCCTTGGAGGCCCAACATCCCCATCGGCATACTTCCGGCTGGGTCAGGCTCTGATACCATTTGTAACGACCCACTCCACCATATGGTATGATATTATCCA